GGGAAGGAGGAGGACGAGTTTGAGGGGGGGAATTTGGGGGTGAGGGTTGTGTAGATTGGTGATGGTGCTGGTGATTGTGATTGAGGCTGGTTCGGGTTCGGGCGTGGAGAGGCGGGGATGCCTGTTGGGAGGAGGGCTGCGCCGGTGGTGGGGAGGAAGGGCTGGATTGGAGGTGGTTGTGTGTCTGGTGAGGATGTTGATGTTGGTGGTGGGGTTGTGGGTGTTGCTGGTGTTGCCGGGAGGGCTGCTGTTGAAGTTGCGAGGAGGATGAGGCAGAGGATGAGATGGGAGAGGGGATGCATCGTGAGTTTCGTTGTTCCTGGATGTACTGGGTTTAGAAGGCGGATGGGATATTAGCTGGACGGGGATTTGAGGTGAGTGAGACCGGCTCTCTTTTTGATATAAGTCTGGTAAGAAATGAATAGGAATTGCGCCTTGAGGCTATTCGGTGTGTAGGAAGTATGTGTAAGGTTAGAAGAGAATGTTGGAATGCTTAGTTGAACAATGGGTGGTTGAACATCGAAATGTCAACGTCAATGAGACAAGGAAACAAGGCGTTGTAAATTTCGACCGGCCACGTTTGTGCCTTTATCACTTTCTTCGTCATTGTGGTCACTGAGTTTGGGGGCGAGAAGCACCTGGAACATTTTGATTGACGGTGAGTCGTGACGCGGAAAACCAAAAGAGTGGTGGATGGATGGTAGGTGGTGGTGGGTTGGATGTTTCTGTCCTGCGCTTGGTATGTGGGAGGAGTCACTGGGATTCGCGTTCCAGAGGATGGATGGATGAATTTGGGGGGTGTGTTTGACTGCACTAAAGCGCGTTTGGCGATGTTGGTGGGGTGTCAGTCAGGCACCTTTTCCCCCGTGCCTTTTCTAGAAGGCGAATGGACAACTTTACGTGTTTCTTGTTTGGTGATTGCGTGGTATTGGTGGTTTGCGTGGTGTCTCGTCAGTTTTTTATTCGCGTGCATGTTTGAAGGTGTTGATGTTGGATGAAGAATGATTGGGTGGGAGGTCACTGCACGGTTTTTGGGGAGGGGAGGATTCGCTAGTGCGATGGGTTACTCTTCTTGCTCTATTGGAAGCGATTACTTTGGATTGGAGACGGCTCTAATGCAGCTACATGTAGCATCTGGGTCACTGTGGACGAACCGGTTCAGGATGGGTTTCTTGGGCAGGTGCCCGATATCTTCACCTCCCGTCCGCTCAGGATGAGTACCTCTCCGAATACGGGACGGGAGAGTGACCCCCACCGGCGACGGAAAGATGGGGCCGACCGGGCCCGGGCCCACACGGATCATGGGTCCCGTTCCGTCTTGGGAGAAGAAGGCCAATGTACTTCAATCACTTCAGCGCACCTACTAGGACTCGGTAGTTGAAAAGACGGGAGTAGCACGTGAGAGGACGCTGGAGAATCAGAGAATCCGAGCATCTCTGAGAGCGACCGCACATTACACCACGATGTGTTACGCGAATCGCGGAAAGTACGGCGTTATCTTCCATCTTTACACATGCACCAGGTCAAGGTAAACGAGAAAGAGCTCACAGAAGATTCGTATTGTAATTGCTTGGCGCAAGTTCCACTTCAAACACAATGCGAAACACAATGCGAAAGGTGGCGCGACTTCGTCGCCTGCTGGATCTAAAAGCCCACGTTGCAAGGCAGGCAGCCCTCAATTCCTGGCCCATCCGTTCTCTCCCTTGAATGATTTCACAACCCCAAAATTAAAGATCCATTTCTGCTGGATGCTCTAGTGGCCTCAGACTCCAAAATATCCACAATAATTAATTAAGGTAGAAGATCTAAAAAGACAAAAGAGTTCACCCCCCCCGGTGGCGAACGGGGGCTACGTCTCTGGCGCACATGCTGGGATTCTTATCGACTTGAACTCGGGACCTCTGAGCCTTCACCGATTAGGCTGTTCGTGGACTTCAACCACTCCACCATCCAGCCAGTTTTGACCTGACCCTCAAGGGGGCGCCTGCTGGCTGGTAACAGAAATGGCGTTGAGGGGGGGTATATACCCTTCTCGTTTAGTCAGTTGGGAAGGTAGGGTGCTCACGTGAATCGTTTGATGCCTTGAAATAAACATAGGATGAAATCGTCTACCGACTACGAGATGCAAATCCTTCTTAGCCTCACTATCTCATCCTGCCTGAACCCGCGGATGCAACCAATTCTACATCAAGCCCTTTCCAAGAGGTCAAATGCATCGCGAATGACACTGTTGTCGTAACTGAATATTTCAATGTCCTCAATAGTCTCTGGATGTCCCGAGAAGAAGAATCGGTGATTAGTACAGGTACTCGAACGACATAGATCCAAGGAGGAATATCCTTACGTGGGACGTTGCCGTCAAAGTACTGTCTCTGCTCCTCGGAAACACGAGTTGGGTCCCACTGGTGCATCGAAGACGCGGTCTGCGTTGCGGCGACGCGCTTTACCCGCAGCTGGTTGAACATGTCCAGTCGGGTTGAGATGTCGTCTCTCGATGTCACGTTTGAGAGAAGCACGCCTAGCGCTCCGGCGTCTTCGATCGCCATGGCTGCGCCCTGAGCGCGCACTGTATGAAAAAGGGGATTGTCAGCCATCATCGAGACCCTGGCTTGATACTGGCATTGCTGGATTCTGTGATGATATAGTAGGATTCTGCTTACCTGGGGGCATGGGATGTGCGGCGTCTCCTATGAGGACCACTCGGCCTCGGACGAGCCTGTCGAGCGGCTTTCGGGTGAAGACCTTCCATTGTCCGACGCCTCTCGCATTGCTATGAATCACGAGATTGGTTAATGAGACCTGTTTCTGTTGCTGGAATTTCTCGGAAGCTTGAAACTTACATGCAGACGGATTGTACAGGCTTCGGATACTCTTCGACGACTTTGTAGACAAAGTCTTCTCTCGCCGAAATGTCGTTGCCTTGATAATGAGAGGTGAGCAGAGAGCTCTCTCATGGAAGTTTGGCCTGAGTCGCTCACCTTCTGAATCAATGGCAAGGTCAGGATGGTACAGCAAGCCGATGTTTTGAAGCGAGCCTCTGTAGTGCGTGAACCTGTCAGCTCCTGGGAAATACAGGGGGCAAGCGGCGGAGTTGACTAGGGTGACGCCTACCCTCGACATCCGTAGATAATGGCACTTCGCATGGTCCCATAGCTGATGCGAATCGAAGTTAAGCCATCTTTAAAAAGAGCTACGACATCCGGGTCGTCACGGAGGTCCTCTACTGGAGCCATCAATCGGAGCATCGACATGTAGTGCTGCGCTTGCGGGGCGTTGTCCACGACCTTTGAGATGAAGGAAGACTGGGACCAAAATTAGTCGTTACAAAAGGCTCTGCATTTCTGGCTTTCATCCGCTTCAGAGTCAGATGAGTGAGACTTACTCGTATGCCGTCGGCCGCGATGAGTATGTCCTTTTGCACACTCATGCCATCTTCAAAGTGAATGGTGCCGTCGGTGTCGATATCAGACACCTTGACGCCAAGGTGCAAGCGAGCAACGCTCTTCCTCTTCGGTGTCGGCTCCGTGGCTAAAAGCTTGAGCTCGTTGTGGAGATCAACGCGGTGAAAGAACAGCCAGGGGGCGCCGTATCTGGGTGTGTAATCCGTGCATGTTATCATTCGCGTTTTGTCAATGTTGTTGGGGTCGTCGTAGTAGATGTACTTTTTCCATGCGAATTAGAATAAAAATAATTGAAGGCTCTCTTCATTGTATAAGTGGACTTGAGGCGTAGTGATAGAACATACCTTCTCCGCGGTGGTGGCCCTGGCCCGCTCGAAGTCGAACCCGTAGTAGTCGAGCACTCTCGTGGAGTTGGGAGGTGTCGAGATTGCTGCCCCTACTTCGCTCTTGAACTGAGACCTTTCATATATCTTCCAAGGTTTTAGTGATTTCTTAATGAAGGAGGTAAGGCTTAGCCTCAAAGGCTTACCTCGACATCGTGGCCACTCTCCAGTAGGGTGATGGCGGCCATCAACCCTCCAATTCCCGCTCCAATAATGCCAATCTGAAGCCTCTCGCTCTTTTCTGTCGGGTGGAGGGCCTTTCGAGGCGGAAGCCTCCATCGTTCATCTCGCGTATTGCAATAAGACGTCATGCTGGTGAAAGGTACGTGTACTTTTGGCGGGTATGAGTAACTCAAGAACCCACACACGAGGATTTCCTTGGGAGATGGGGTAGTTCATAGAAAGCTTGACCTGGAGTTTATTAAGGAGTTATAATCACTAAGAAATTCTCGAAGGATTATAACGTTGACACGTTGACGTAAGAATGTTGCTTACCTCCAACTAGGAGGGGTCATCCGGAGGTGGAGAGCCGAGCCGGCGATCTTAGCACGGAGGCTAGCTAGCTGGTTCGGCTCAGCTGCACCACCTTCCGCAGATGCCGTTAGCGTCACTTTGCATAACTGATCCGATATGTATGAAATTCAGTGAAGTGGAGGAGAAGTAGCGACAGAGGGATGAAGGTGCTGCGTGTTTCGTTTAAGCCGCTACTTAACGAGTGGATTGATGAGCAGCTCCAAGGTTGTATCGCGTGTCTCTCATTCAACTCGATTGTGAGAGGGAATGCAGTCAACTACAATAACAATGTCTCCCATTTTGGCTTCTATGATATGCTTCTCGGATGGGTTCATGACGCTGATCAGTAAAAGTATACATCAACTTGTTCCAGAACGCGACACAAGGAACAGAAGCATTCCAAGCAGAAGCGGTCTAGGAGGAAGAGGCATAGGTGGGAATGTACACGTAGTTCTTACATAAATAGTCAAACAGTGCCCAGAGAGCTGTTGATAACAAGGCAAAATCTTGGACTCAGAATCGGCTGGTGGAGTGAAGCCGATCGGTGTCCCACCCACGGTAGTCTGCTGAGTTGCCAACTGCCGCCTTCAGCTAAGAGACGAGAAGGAGGTATTGATACGGACTTCCTGCTGAATGACGCCACACCTCATCAACAAATGCAAGTTGCTCTTTCACTTTGCGTTCTTTCTCCCCCGGCGACATCTCATGGACCGGACACCTTCCCAAGACCATCCAACAAGTAACAAACCTCCTCAACACCGCCCGGCACTCTCAAGCCTTTCCAATTTCCCTCAATAATCCTCCGTGATAGCCTTATCACACCCGCCATGTCCTCGAGCGCCACATTATCCTCTTCCGTTCCGGTACCACGCAGCACAAGGCGAACGTTCCTGTCCAATACCTGATACTCTGGCACATCCTCCTCTCCGTCCAGCACCAACACAGCAGCCGCGCCAATACCACATCTCGGCACCGGACGATACTGCTCTATCGCTTCTTTCTCCCGCACAGAAATATTCCTCCCCGCTTGCCAAAGGAGAACAGTAGCATCCCGAAGAGCAACGCAATAGACCCCACTCAACGTTCCAGGCTCAAGCTGCCTCGCCATACGAAGAACCTTACCCGCTCTCCAAACCGCGCTCCGGTCTTCCGGGCTTTCCTCAACTCCATTCATCGATCCCTCGCCGTGAACGTGTTGCGACAGTGGGGGTGATAAAGTAGTACCACGAAACTCATCCCCGTCGAGCGACGTCGAGATATACATATGAAGAACTTCATACATCATCTCCGCACCAGGAAACACCGCCCACCCCGTCGCTCGTAAAGAAGAATGAAACAGTTTGAGAATCGAACCCAGCTCCATCCGCCGCGAGGATAAAATCATGTCGCTCCATTTTCCGTGGCCGCTGATAGCCTTCAGCTGGCGACATTCTTCGACAAGCACCCAGAGACCAGCATAGAAGCCTAGAGTGGCGAAAGTCTTGTCCACCTTACTGTGATTATGGGATCTAGCGACCAGCGTCGGATCACCCATCAAGTCCTTCAAAGACAGTGACGGCGATGGCGAGGAGGTGATAGAAGAAGAGGAAGGAGGTCTCGTTGCCCCCGGCATCAACCGTACCATCTCCTCCCTCCACTTCGCCGCCGACTCAGCCCTCCACAACCCTTCCGGCGCGGGGAGCGAAAGCCTCATATCTCCGTATCTCGCCATCCCCCTAATCCCATGCACTATCCCGACATGGCTATCCATGATGTACGTAGCATACACCAACCTCCTTCTTCCTTCACGGACAGACCACCTCCGCCAGACGTCCTCAAGAGCCCCTTCATCCAGATCACAAAGATTCTGGAGTTGAAAGAGGGCCTGATCAGTCTCCATAGCCCCTTGAATATGCCCTCCGTTCTTCATCATCACCTGCATACATCCAGAACAGGCTTCCGCGAATGCAACCTTGCGCTGATCACCACTGAAGAAGGCGACGTGCTGCTGCAGGAAGAAGGCCTGGGATAGACTGATGTCGCAGAGGTTCGCGTTGTTTTTCTCCCACTATCAATCTCATTAGTGAGTGAACAACGACAAGACGAGCATATGTTTATCCCTCCTCTAAGATGGACAGAGACACAGGAGAAGGCTGAGGAAGACACTCACACACCGAAAAGAAGAAACCCTCACGACATCCTGCATTGCGTAACCGAAACTCCTTGCCACAACCGAACCAGTCCTGATGGCGCCAACGGCAATCAACGCACCCAACAATTCTGGTCTCTGCTGATCAAGACGTAGTGTAGGGAAGTGTATCACGTCGATGATCCCGTACTTCGCTGTCGCTGCCGAGGAACAATGTACTGATGATGCTCTCCCCCAGCAATCGCGAGCATACACCTCCAAAAGCGCATTGAGCGCCTCCACCGACGGGAAAGCAGCCAGAACAGGTCCAGCGTTGGCACGGGATGTGTTGTCGAGGATCATACCGACAATAGCGTTCCGCGCCACTGGCGAGATGGATAAACCGACAACATCGCTGCCATTTCCAACACTGAAGCTACCGCAAGGCATCTTTGATGTCCAGGATGTTCTCCCTGCCTTCAAACTCTCCTCGTCCGCCGCGAGGTGCGGTCTTTCCATTTCGCTGTTCTCATCACTCGACGGCTCCCAAGACCCAGTCCTATGGCTTTCCGGCGTCATGGGTGGCGATATGGACATACCGGTATCGCCGTTCTGCTCTTGCTCCAGCTCCTTCTCCTGTGCCTGCCTCGACCTATCAGATGCGATGGCATCCAGCTCCTCCAGCCCAGCCGCATCGAACCGAGTCTGCAGGCACGACAAATCCGACATCGCGATGTTCCACTCCACGCCAAAGGGGAAGTCATCCATCGTCATCATCGCCGGCGCCGTCTCATCGAGTGTCTCTTGGCTATTTAGCCGCGTTTGCGTGTAACTTTCCGGTCCAGCCTGGACCTCGTCCAAAAAATCAGAACCAGAACCAGAACCAAGGCCACCAACGCAATTCTCCCCCTCAACCTCACATAAACCTCCTCGTCCAACACACCTCGCACAAGGCTTTCTCTCAGAACACTTTACCTTGGCAGCTTTGCATCCCTTACACGCCGATCTAACCCTCTCGCCCCCATCAACCTCCCTCGACAACTCATCAGCCCCGTTCCTCTCCCCTTCCACAACAATCAACGCCGTCTCAGGCTCAGACCGACTACCACCGCCATCATGAGTGTTTGTCTCATGCCTCCTCAAAACATCCAATCTGCCGAACCCCTTCCCGCAGACCCTACACGTATACGGCCTCTGCTTAGTATGCACAGATCTGACATGGCGCGCAAGATGCTCCGTACGATGATAGCGGCGTCGACATCTGGAACACTGGTAGAGAGCCTGTTCCTCACCCCCTACTTCCCTGCCAGTTATCATCGTTTATCTTTTTCGAAATTAGCAAGGAAAATGGTCCAGTCTAGTTGGGATATAGACCCCTGTCATTGGCTGATTGACGGAGACCAAGGTTCGCAAACGTGAAAGTTTATGAGAATGCCAAGAATAAGCTTATTCGTCGTCGTCAAAAAGCAAAAAGTCAAGACGAACCACGAAGCTCAGGGATCCTTCACTTCACGGGTGGCACGCACAGGTTCATCAGCTCAACGCCAGTCGGCGAAACAACCGGCCCCAACCACCGACCACCAACGGACTTATTTCCCCAGACTCGGCCATCGGCTACCTTCAAACTCCGTGGTCCGTCCATTTCGGACCCGATCCGCAGCCCATACAGCGGGACTCGTCGCATACAGCTGACAAGACGCCCACATTGAGTGATTTACACGCAACAATGCAGGCGACAGCGTCCGACGCGATGTTACAGCGGCAAGCACACCCGTAGATCTACACCCTACTAGTCCGGAATTCCACAAAACCTGTTTCGATCAAACGGGTCACTTGCACGATTGCACCGCAGCCCATGCAAGAACGGCGTGAATGGATAGAGGACGTTGACTTTTGCACAACATGTTCCATTAATGCAGAGTACCCTGCCGGGTACGGGTATCCTTATTTCTCAAAGCAAAGAGAAAGCTAGTAAACATGTCGAGAGAACTTCTCGACCCCCTATTACATACACATGCAGACGCCCCGCCACACTATCTGCCTAACGCTTCCTACCAGACAACATTTCCTAGAACCTTGCCGATGACTTGCGTGGCCCCTTGCCCTTCGCGGCGGATCTCGCGGGCATCGAGCTCGACGGAACGGATCTACCCGCAGTCGCCGTCTTGGCCGTGCCTCTCGCTGCCGGCACACTCTTCGTCCGCGGGTTGTTCTTGGGAGGCTTGCTTTTCTGCACCCAGCCGGATCCATGCGGAAGACTACTGCTGTTGTTTTCCTCATAGTCCTCGTCAACATCGTCTTCCGCGTAATTTTCCTCCAGCGGCGAGCTAGGCGGGCTCGAGGATAATGTAACTACCTGCGATCCAGGAGGAACCACAAATGGAGAGGCTGTGCGGACCCGCTCACGTAGTCGACGGGGCTTGATGTCCTCCACCTCGACGAGTGATGAGGGCACTGACTTAGTCGGCTTGAGATCTGGCAAGTCTGGTGACTCAGAGAGAGTCACTCCCTCTGGCTGGCTCGATTTGGGGAACAGCTTCTTCCGTGCTGTCCCAAGTTCATTGGGCGACTCATATTCTTCTACCTCATTTTCACCGTCTTCATTAGCCTCGTCGATTTGGCGCATGGCGGCTTCGTATTCTTCATCGCGAGAAACAATGGACTTCCGTGACTCTGCCACCGACAATACCTGGGACTTGGATGGGCTCTGTGTGGTCTTCTGCGAATTTCGCTGCGAGGCCGTTTTGAACAGGCTCTCCAGTGACGGAAGAGAAGACTTCTCGCCCGAGTTCGGCTCAGGTGTGTCATTACCTCTGGTTGGCGTGCGGACCTGGGCTCTCGGAGTCGATGCGTCCACAGAAGGGGACCCATGACCAGCGTCGCTCATCAGCTGGGTGTCGTCGTCTCCCATATGAAAGCTGAAGTCATCCGGGTCGAGTTGCCGACCACTGCGAATGCTACTCACAGATGACGGCGGCGGAATGACCTCTTCAGCGGCAAGTTTAGTAGCCGCATCTCCACTATTATCCGGCGCTGGCGCAACGTTTTCCGCAACGCTGTCTTGGGACAGCGGGGACTTTGAAATGACTCGGGGTGTATTGGCAGCTTGCAGCTGGTCGAGCAACTGGCGGGATGGGCTGCTTGTTTTGTGACGAATGACTGACGGTGACGCATCTTTGCGAAGGCCTGCTTCTTCGATCATGATGCTGATCTCATGACGACGATCCGATGAGATGGAGAGGGCATTGGCATTGGAGTTCTGAGAGTCGTCGTCTGTTGTCGGCACTGTACTATTGTTTTTCGATTGGCCTTTGGCTCGGGGGGTGGGCACGTCGCCTTCGTTCATACTGTCGTCATTACCATTCAAGTGTGTATCGAGTTGAATAGACTCATCGCCGTCCGCGGATGCATCAAGACGGGGGTCACTACCCACGACGACTTGAGGCTGTTGTTCGTCCGTATTAGCCCTGGCTCGACTTCCCTTTGCATCGACTTTTGACTGACTTCCAACTTCACCCACCTCGGACTGACCGGAAATTTCTCCATGAACCTGAGACGGTTGGCTTTGGCCGTCGTATATGGTTTCGTGAATGACGCTGTCTGTAGGGCCACTTTCGCCCTCCGAGGCACCGGATTTTTCGTTTCCGCCCTGTTTTGTGTCATCTTCCAGAGGAAACTGTACAATCTTGGGCTCGATCAGTTCTAGATAATTCACGCGTCGATGTCCTTCTTCGAGTTCGTTTTCTGCATCCTCATCATCCTCGTCATCATCGGGGGCTTCAAAGCGATCGTAAACTCTCTCCCCAGTCTCTTCATCGTAGGTCTTCTCGGTCCGATCGACGCCTCGATCACGATGAGCCAATATGAATTCAAGATCGGATGCGTCCTCATCATAGATCCTAACGAGAACGCCGGTCAAGCTCACCACTTGGGGTTGCCAGTTGGTTTGTGATGACAAGACCAGTTGCTTCCAAGTGACAACCATGCCTAGTTTGGCTTCTCCTGGGCGAAGGTCCGGAAGAGTGGACAGATCGGATGGAAGTGAAGGGAGATCGTCAATATCCGTCGCCTGGCTTTCTTCAGCTGGTTTCTTGGTTGCTGGTGGATCGTCAGACGGATCGTCATAATTGAGTGTCGTGTCTCCCTCTTGAGCAGACTCAATCGCGTCGGAGAAGGTCACACCAAAAATGTCATCGGTTACGCGACGCTTCTTCGACGATTGAGAGTCGGCATTTTCTTGATATTGAGCTTGATCGCGCTGTACGCGCTTACGCTTGCCCCCTCGCTTATTCTTCGAACCGAACCATTCTTCCACCTGTTGTTGGGGGTCCCAACGCTGGACAAAAGGGAAGGGCGGTTCGGAAAGCTCGACCCCGTCGTGGCAGCATTCTACGGCTCGGTAAGCGATTTTCTCGCGCCATGCTTCGGGATCTTCCTGTACCGATTCTTGGGTCTCTGCGGATTCGCTAGGCTGAGAAGCCCCTTCTGACAGACGAGCGTTGGTGTGAGGCCGGACACCCTTCATCAAATCTTGACGAATCTTGTCTTCGTCAGCCTTGTTCTTCGGGTTCTTGAGCCCCAAAGATCCCATGAGCATGCGGCGGGCAGCTCCAACATTGGGCTTCATGCGCCGCTGAGAGGCAGCTTCTTGCGCAACAGGGCTCTGTGAAGCCTCTATCATGTCGGCATCAGCAGTTGATGTTTCAATATCTTGAGGTGCAGAGTCGGGTATCTGAAGGGACTTCTCCTGGCTAGTCTCAGCCGGGCCGTCGGATGCAATAGCGTTCAGTAAGGCTTGCTTTCTTGCCAAGAATACTGCCTGCACCTCAGACATCTCCGCTGGGGAGAACTCTTCGCTATTCTGAGCCGACGGAGACCTCTTCTGGCCGGCCATTTTCTTGGCAAGTTTGCGCCTCGCATTCCTTTTTTGCGTCTTGCTCAATCCCTGACCCGGAGGCACATTGGGCTGATCTTGCTTTGTCTGGGCTGCGGCGACTGGTGCTGCTTGTTGCAGCTCCAGGGTTTCGTTGGATTCAAGACGAATCCGTTGGGTAGAGAGGGTCTTGCTGGGAAGCTCCTCAGGTTCGGAATCCGAGCTTGAATCTTCGCTGCTGCTGTCGTCTGAAGATGAATCTGACGACGAATGGGATGAGACCTCGACGATCGCGGCCTGTTTTGCGGACAACCGGTCTTTTGCAGATGCCACGCTTGACTCATCGCTGGATGAATTGTCGGAGCTCGATTCGTCGTCTGAGCTCGAGGCTTCTTCGTCGGCCGAGTCTGAATTGTCTTCATCCGCAATAGGCCCCCCGCCTCCCGCTTGACTTGATTCGCTGTCGGAATCGTCATCGGAAGAAGAGGCAACAGTATCATTTTCGGAAGCGTTGCCCATCTCCTCATCAGAATCAGATGTTGCGCCGTCGGAACCTGATTCGGAGTCCGAAGTTGAGATTTCGTCACTGCCAATCGAAGCACGATCGGCGTATGCATTATGATTTAGGGACTCTGAAGCTTCATCGCTATCCTCATCCTCTTCCTCCTCTTCATCCTGGTCATGGGATGTGGCGTGAGAGGATCGAGCAAGTGGGCTCGATTCCCGGAGAACGAGCTCACGCCCCGTGTTCGAGTTCGCGTGTCGGATTGGACTGCTGGACAGACTCCTCGCCTGATGGTCCAAAGTCTGCTGGAGGTTGAGACGGGATTCGAATGTCTTGTTCAGTTTGCGATATACTCTAGCGAAGTTCGCACCGTATCTCAAAAGCGCCCTT